TCCTATACTTTTTTTAATTTACATTAATGATCTTCCAGATATTCTTACATCTGAGGTGGCATTGTTCGCTGATGATACTACCTTTTATTCTTGTCATGATAATAAGCCAACAATCTCTGATTGCTTTGAGGGGACATTTGATCTTGAAAAGAATCTCAGTTCTGCTACAGCATGGGGCTCACAGTGGCTGCTGAACTTTAATTCAGATAAAACTCAATTTTTTTCAGCCAATCGTTATTGCAATAGTTTAGACCTTCCTATATTTATGAATGGAATCATCTACCCTTCATCTTCTAGGATTAACTCTTACTTCCGATCTTTCTTGGAAACGGTATATTAAATTCATTACAAAATTAGCATCTACTAAGGTTGCATCTCTTTATTGAGCTCTACACTTTCTAGATTCTATTCTCTATCTTTATAAATCTCAAATCTGGCTTTATATGGTATACCTTTGCCATATCTGGGGCGGATCTTCTAATGATGCCCTTTCTCTTTTAGACAAGGTGCAAAAATGCCTTGTAAACTTATTTGAACCTGCTCTTGCAGCCAACCTTAAACCATTATCACATTGTTATAATGTTGCTTCTCTTTCTCTTTTCTACAAATACTATAATGGACACTGCTCTAAAGAGCTAGCGTCTCTTGTACCATCTACTAAAATTCATTTTTGTGTTACTCGTCATTCAATTAAGTCTCTTCTTTTTCTGTGACTGTTCCTAAGTGCTCCAAAAACTCTTATTCGTCTAGTTTTTTTCCTCGAACATCAGTTCTTTGGAATTCGCTTCCTTCATCTTGCTTTCCTGATTCATATAATTTGCAATCTTTTAAGTTGTCTGTCAATCATTATCTTGCTCTACATTTTTCATCTTTTCTCTTCCAGTAACTTCCAACTCTAATTTGTAGTTGCTTGCAGCCTTGTTGGAAGTGAAGATGTATGATGTGAAGATGTATGAAGTGAAGATGAAGAATATATATATATATATATATATCTTCATATATCTATATATATATAAAATATGTGCAATAAATAAATTTGATTTAGCTTAATGCAAACCTTGTTGTGTGACATCAAATATGAGTTTAATAATTTAAGTCGTACATTAATTTTTACTTTTTTTACTTTTTTATTTAAATGCAGTTTTTAGATCACAATTCTTTATCTAGATCATCCAAGAAGAAACTAAAAGACTTCAAATTATTCATAATAAGTTGTTATCTGAATATCATAAACAACGTAACCAGGCAACAGAAATTGAAGAAAATTTAACTGTTCGATGTCAAGATCTCAAGACACAAAATGAAGAAGAAAGTCACAATTGTATTATCTTAAAGGTTGTTAATATTTTACCAACTTTGAAAAAAAAAAAATAAAACATTTTTTTACAAAATATGTTTTAAGTATAATGGTAAAAATTAAAACTAATAAAATATAAATGAATTTTTTTTTGATGAATTTTTATCTATTACTATATTTTGAAATTAATGAAAACTTTGAAAACTGTTATAAGTTTATTGCACAACAATAAAAAAAAAATTAAATAAATAAAATAATGATAATAAAATAATAAATAAATAAAAAGAACTCAAAAGAAAGTTGTTATTATTGTATTACTACAAAAGGTATAAATTCAGCTATTTTATTTTTATTTTTATTTGAAAACAATGTATTTTTTTATTTTAACTTTTTTTACCTTCTTTTTTTTCAATTTTTATTTTTATTTGAATATAAAATGTTACTTTTTATTTATTTTATTCATTGTTATTCAATATTTATATTGGTAGCAGTTTATTAACATGGCATATATCGGTAGCAATATGTTTATCAACAGGACATATATTGGGAGCAATATATTTACAAACATTATATATATTGGTAGCAATATAATTATAAGCAGGACAAAGGTACCAATATATTTTATAAAATAAAAGTAATAATGTTCATAATAACATCGAAGATAATAATGATAATTAATAACACAAAAATTTTATTTAAGTGCTATAAATATAAATCTCTTTGCTACATTAGATACTGTAAAAATATGTTCTATTGAAAGAATTTTTTTTAACCAATAGGTTTTCACTATTCAGTAACAAAAGCACTGCTGAAAAGAAAAACACTGTTGTTTAAGAATTAAAATAAAATCGAAAGCTTAAAATAGTTAAAAATATTTAATGTAAATCAAGATAGGGGGTTGTCCATAAATGATGTCACTGATTTTTCTCAATTTTTGACCCCTCTCCTTCCCCCCTTTGTCAAACTCTGTCAATTTTTGGCCAACCTCATCCTTATATATGATGTCAGTTTTTGTACCCTCCACCCTAAAGTAACATTAAAAATATGTGTTAAAACCATTGATTTTTTTCTGGTTAAATTATTTATTTATATAATAGTAGATCTCAGTTAGTTATATTATAGAACAGTTGATACCTCATCAAATAATGAGCAAACTAATCAAATTTTTATTCTATAGTACCCCCTTCCCCCAATATTTCCTGAATTCATTTATGGATGGCCCCTAAAAGCAAGCGTAACCTATACAAGCTATAATTTTTTAATACAAATTTTTTAAGTAAAACAAATTTTCTAATAAAAACTTTATTAATTTTTTAGACAAAAAAAAGTGTTCCAATAGCTTGGAGAAATTTGTAACTAGAGAAATCGGACAATACTTACTTGATATCTCTATTTTTATTTTTCATTAATGGAAAAGTATTTGAATATTTGACTCTAAATATTTCCCATGACAAAAGATGGTGAAATAAGAGATAAAATGACAAAATATTTAAAATAATTAATAAAATAATTAGGGCTAGATATTAATAGAAGAAGAACTACTTTTTTGTTACATGCCAAATTTATAGCTGTTAAGAGACTGCTTAAATTTGCTTAAATCTATGATGCTGTTCAAAAACATATATGATTTATACCTGTTCAAAAACAGCTATTTGACTATAGGGTAGAAAGTGCAACAAAAACTTCATTATCAGTAAAATTGGGAAATGATCTTATTATTTATAACAATATATCAGTAATATTATCAAATGTCAAAGCACATTGTGTTAAATCTAAGATAATATGTGATGTTGAAAGCATAGCAAAATAGGTTTTTAACAATAAAATAGTCACTACATAGCTTTGTTGCTAGCTTTCAAAATAATATCTTTTTTAACCTTTTCATTTCCAGCAAGTTTCATCATATAAATAAAAAATAAAATTCATTAAATTAATCTTCAAACTGAATAACATTATCATCACCATAACTACGGTATCATTTATTAGTTAATTATTTCAAAAATATCATTTCACATACAAGAGCAACTCAAACAAATCCAACACAAAACTTTGTATCTGTTGCATTTCTTTCTTTGTTCTCGTGATTGTTAGTTAGAGGGCACTGCAGTTGAAGAGTCTGATGGTTTTTTTTTACTTTTATTTGAAATCTGTTGACCCTAAATTCAAAAGCTGTAACTGTAGCTACTAAAATCATCTGTTTTATTTTCAAACTTATATAGTATTATATAGTATTTTATATAGTGTTATAGAATATTTTCTCAAAATAATTTGAATGACCAACTTCATAATTGCAAGTTGAAATTTTTACCTTTTTTTTTTTTTTTTTGGATAATCATAATAGCAAGTATAAGCTTTTGAATTCCACTTTCTTAATTTTTATTTGTTAGGCACGAATTAAATCAGACACAGCAGAGTTTTTATCTCAGAAAAAGGTGTGCGAAGATAATCGGTTCAAGGTATTTTAGTAAAATGTTACATAAAATAATTTTTGAAAGTTCATTCTTGAGAATCTCTATTTTTCTCTAATATTATTGAAAACTTTTTTTTTTTTTTTAACATATCAAAAAATTGAAATTGATTAGTTAAAAAAAAAATTCTTTTATGTGAAAAAAGTTTCTTAACATTTAAAGAATTAAAACTTAATGATATTTATTTGTCAGTTTGCAAATAGTAGCGAATCAAAGATGTTGCAGAAACACAGCAGCATTTTTGCAGAAACCTTAGCAGTTTATTGCTTTGGTTAATTTTTGTATTTAGATTTCTGCTTTGCATTCAGTTTATTTTGTAGATTTTAGTTTTTTAGTAGTTTAGTTCTGTTGATGATTTTTTTTTTTTAATAGTAATAAAGATGTCTGTAAATTCGAATATTGCTCTAGAACATAAATCTATTAATATTTTAGCTTAACGATATAAAAGACAAAGTAGAAGGTTCTTTGTTGACAGTAGATCAACAGGTTTTTTTTATTTTGCTAAATTTTTTATAAACATTTTAGACACTATTTTAACATTTTTGTTGAATAATATATAAATATAAATATGTTTTTTAGACATGTATTTATGTATGTGTATGCATACATACATACATACATACATACATACATACATACATACATACATACATACATACATACATACATACATACATACATACATACATACATACATACATATATACATACATATATACATACAAATATACATACAAATATACATATATATATACATATAAATATATATATATATATATATATATATATATATATATATATATATATATATATATATATATATATATATATATATATATATATATATATATATATATTTGATGGTAAAAAATTTGTTTTGATTGTAAAATGTATACATGCTATACACATTAGCAGGGTACAGAAATAAAAATCAGTTAAAGTCCTTGTTTTTATTTATTTGTTTTTGAAAAAAGACTTTAAAAACAACAAATAACTAAAACAAATTTAGAAATAATTATTAAATTGTTAGGGTTTATAATGTGGCTAATGGTGTTTCACATTTCTTGTTTCCTGGAAAAATTACCATAGTTTCCCAGGAATTAAATTTAAAGAACTACTTCTGTATATATTATGTTATACCAGGATAATTATTTATTCAAAATAAACATGTATCTATGCCTACAAAACTATTTTAATGTGTATAATCTGATATTAGATTATATTGAAATTTAATATCTAATATCGAAAAATGTAAAAATCAAATCATAACTTTTGGTTATTTTTTTAATACTGGCAACACTAACAGAGTGTTATTATTACAAATACTTGTTCCTTTCTCAATTCAGTAAATATAAAAATTGATTTTGAGTAAAAAATGCATGGTTTAATTTTCATACTTTTCTGAATCCACAGGAGGAAAAGTATTTGTATTGTTAATGCCCTGTAATCTAATAAAATTTATTTTTCAAGAAACATCAAATGACATTTGGTTTATCACTGTACTGACAATATCAATTATTTCGATTGGTTAAGTAAGTTTTTGATTGGTTAAGTATGTTTTCGATTGGTTAAGAAAGTTTTCGATTGGTTAAGTAAGTTTTCTTCAATTCAAAAACTAATTTCATTAGTTAAATATGTAGTTCAGAATGTCTAATTTTATATACCAATTATGTTATAACCAGGCCATACACTTGGCTGTAATAGACGTTTTTTATAAATAAAATGAAATTCTGTTTGTCACATTGGTTCTCTAGAATCTAGTTTTTTTTATAAATAAAATGAAATTCTGTTTGTCACATTGGTTCTCTAGAATCTAGTTTTTTTTATAAATAAAATGAAATTCTGTTTGTCACATTGGTTCTCTAGAATCTAGTTTTTTTTTTTTCTAGTTTTTTTTGTGACAGCTCTTAGGAATCTGAAACTGAAATTAATAATTTAAATGATTTCGAACCCCAAATATAAATAAGAGATAATATAAATGTGGCCTTACAAATGAAAAGAAAACTATTTAGGTTTTTTAAATTTTTTGCCAAAAAGAAATTCCATTTTGTTTGTCACAGTTTTTCTTTAGAAAATGAATCCAGTTTTATCTTTAGTTAATCTAGTTTAAAATAATTGCATAAATAAGGTAAATGTGGCTTTAAATATTAGTTTAAAATAATTGCATAAATAAGGTAAATGTGGCTTTAAATATTAGTTTAAAATAATTGCATAAATAAGGTAAATGTGGCTTTAAATATTAGTTTAAAATAATTGCATAAATAAGGTAAATGTGGCTTTAAATATTAGTTTAAAATAATTGCATAAATAAGGTAAATGTGGCTTTAAATATTAGTTTAAAATAATTGCATAAATAAGGTAAATGTGGCTTTAAATATTAGTTTAAAATAATTGCATAAATAAGGTAAATGTGGCTTTAAATATTAGTTTAAAATAATTGCATAAATAAGGTAAATGTGGCTTTAAATATTAGTTTAAAATAATTGCATAAATAAGGTAAATGTGGCTTTAAATATTAGTTTAAAATAATTGCATAAATAAGGTAAATGTGGCTTTAAATATTAGTTTAAAATAATTGCATAAATAAGGTAAATGTGGCTTTAAATATTAGTTTAAAATAATTGCATAAATAAGGTAAATGTGGCTTTAAATATTAGTAGAAAAATAGTTTTGTAAATTAGATGATTTTTAAACTTTCATTAAAATGAAATTCCATTTAACATGGCTATGTAAAAGAAGAGTATTACTGGACTTAAATTGCCAAACCAGATAAAAAAGCATTGTGACAATTATTGAAAGATTTTTAAAAGTGATGAACTTAGTGAAAAAAGCATTAAATGACTTGAACATTCTAAAGCAGTTTAATATTATTTTTGTTTCAGTTTTGAAAAATACTTTAAATGCTCTTCAACCAATCAAAATAGCTGTAGAGGAATTAGTTAATTGTAATGCAAATTTGCTAACTGCTTTTACAATTAGAAAATTTTTATTTGATTCCGGGCATTAATATAATGATGCAGTTTTAAAAAAGATAATGCTGTCTTTTCACATTAAAAGGCAAAATACATTCAATTTGCATTTAACTGCTACTTCTGAGCTACCTGTATCATCAAAGCTGCAATTATTCCTTATAAAAATGACTGGTTTAATAAATTATTCATTGAAGGTGTGGATATTATAAATGAAAGTAAATTGTCTGAAAGGAAAGAGAAAAGTGATTGGGTAAAGAGGTACTAAGCAGAAGCACAAAAGAATGATCAAAGGATTCAATCTTGATTTCTCAACAATTAAGTGAAATGATGCATAAGTATGTGCCCAAGCCAAGCAGTCAAATCTTTGCAAGATAAAACAGTCAAATTCATATTAGTATCACATAGAGCAAGTAAGTCTGGTGAATTTTGCAAGAGATAAAATTCAATTGATAGTAAGTTACTTCGAAAATCTCTAATATTTGCAAAAGATATATTGAAACAGTTAGTGGGTGGCTATGGTTTTTTATGTTTAACATTTTTGGGTACTTCCATCATGTTTAAAGAGAATTTGACACAATCATAGTTTGAGCATGGCACCCCAGCAATGAGCTATGCAGTTTCCTCAGTCTTTATGATTTTAAAGAGAATTTTAAAGATGCCATATTCTATCAAAGAATTCTCATTCATTGATAGCGCATGGCATGGCAGAATCATGTCTCCTTCCTTACCAATGTTGCTTATTGGGCATTGAACCGGGAATCTCTTGGTTCCTCTTGAGCCAGAACTCACTGCACCACTGCATTTCAAACAATGAGCTATGCAGTTACCTCAGTCCTGCTAATTAATCTCAAGTCATTATTAATTATAACTTGTGTTATATGTTGTTATTACATCATTATTAATTATAACTTATGACCCCTTAAGTGGCCCGAACAATGCACACCAAAATCACTAACATGGAAACCATCCATAAACAACATGGTAATGTTAATATTCTGATATTTTACAGCTGCAATGACAGAGTTACCAAAGAGTTTGAAAAACCTTACTACCAGCTGGCCTTAGAACTATTAAACTGAGTTTTAGAGCTGTATCTTTATTATGATAACAGAAAGAGTTGTGTAGCCACTATCAAGGAGAAATGAGCAAAAATTTATAAATAGAATCAAGAAGATTCAGCATTCATCATCCCATGTAGAAATTAATGTAACATAGGTTTACATCTATGTCAGCTTAAGAGATGAACAAGGGATACTAATTTTTTAAGAAATAGTTTTATTCTGCTTTTTATTGTGGATACTTTTATTTTCTCTTTAAGTTGTTCTCTTGATTACACTTAAGTCTTAGTGTATTTTTGTTTATAAATTTGTGGTATGTATGTATGTATGTATGTATGTATGTATGTATGTATGTATGTATGTATGTATGTATGTATGTATGTATGTATGTATGTATGTATGTATGTATGTATGTATGTATGTATGTATGTATGTATGTATGTATGTATGTATGTACGTATGTATGTATGTATGTATGTATGTATGTTTGTATGTTTGTATGTAGTTATGTAGGCTGGTCAATAGCATTATTCTGCTTACTCCTAAAGTCTTTGCATTCTACAAGACAGTAGCTGGATGCATTTAACATTTGCCCAAGATGAGTATTTTTACCTTTTAGCAGCAACCATGATAGTATTTGTAGAAAGAGAAAGAGATGCAACTTTGCGATGATGGAAAAGAGACTTAAGCTTAGCTGGTAAAACGGTTCAATTATGTTTGCAATGCGTTTTTGGAACTTGTTTATAAGTGAAAGAACATCATTAGAAGATCTAACCTAAATATAACAACAGTATTCTAAAAAGAGACAAATAAGAGATTTGTAGAGGCAGAGAATGGAATCAGAAGTAAGAAAATGAGAAGCATGATAAAGAAAAGCAACCTTAGTGGATAATAATTTAGCATTTGATAGTATATATGGTTTCCATGAAAGGTCAGTAATTAACGATAATTCAAGAAAACGTAAAGAAGTGGGCTCAATGATGAGAGGGTTGCCGTTCATTAATATAGAAATGTCGTCAGTACTGCGATAGTTGTTTGCAGTAAATAACTGAGTTTTGTTGGAGTTAAAATTTACAAGCCACAGTGAGCCCCAATCATGTATAGAAGTGAGATCAGATTCAAGATTGGCTGCCTATTCTAAGTGATAGAAAAGAGAAGATTTTTTGTCAAGACAGGAGTATAAAATTGAGTCACCAGCAAATAGAGCTACTTCAGATGTAAGGTTGTCATAAAGATCATTGATGTAGATAAGAAACAAAATAGAACCAAGGATAGAACCTTGAGGTACCCCAGAAGTGACTGGAAATGAAAAAGAGTGTTGGACTTTGTGGATGACTTTAATAAAGCGGTTAGAAAGAAATAATTTGGTAATCTCAAAAACTTTACCCGATACACCATATGAAACAAACTTATGGAAAAGACCAACATGCCAAGCTTTGTCAAAAGCTTTAGATATGTCAAGAGCAATAGTTCTAGCCTCTCCACTTTCATCTAATGCACAATAAAATCTTTCACAATTAAATCTTTCAATCACAGCAGTTATCAAGTCAGTCGTAGAGCGAGAGGATTGAAAACTGTATTGATTGTCTGACAGCAAATTATTTGACTCAAGATGGGATGTGAGAAATTTGTGTATCAAAGACTCAAAGACCTAATAACAGAAAGAAGACTGATTGAAAAATAATTGGAGGAGTCAGAATGTTTACTAGAGTTTTTAAAAATTGGAACAACAGATGCCATTTTCCAGCAGGTAGGAAAACAAGTCTCAGTCAAGCATTTATTAAATGGTATAGAAAAAATTGAAGAGAGTTCTAGATAATGATTTTGTAAGATTGTGACAGGAATGTTGTCTGGACCACAAGCCGTAGAAAAGTTTAAACAAGATATGACTTTAGCAATAAAAGCTGGAGTGATTTGAATGTCTAACAATGGGTTAACCTGTTTAATTCAAATGAAAGGAAGAGAATGGAGAATGGCCATAAGATTTGAGAGTCAAATTAGAAGAGAAGTTTTATCATTGAGAGAGGTAATAAGATCATTCCCATGATTGAGAGATGAAATGTTAGACCTTCCTTTGTTCCTTTGGCTGTTGAATATTTTCCAAAAGTCTCTAGAGCCTAACTTCTGAAATACAAGATTTAGTGAAATGAGAATAGTGGAGCTTAGTATCTAACAGCATCTTTTTACATCAATTTCTTGCAATAATAAATAGCTGTTTGTTCTCAAGAGAGTTGATCTTTTGTAAAAGATAAAAAAATTGATTATGATTAGATATAGCAGCTGCACAAGAAGTTGAAAATCATGGAGCTGACAAGAAGAAATAAAAGCATCCATTCCTGCCTGAATCCAGGAGATTGCACATTTTTCAGCTGAGAGGGAAAAGACATCAGCCCAAGGACGATCACCAAGAAAATCACAAAAAGAATCCCAACCAGTTTTAGGGTAGTAGTAAGTAGTGTGGTAATAGGGTTAGTCAAAAATGAAGTATGAAATGCGAGAAAATTTTCTGAGAAAATGCAGAAGTTATAGGCTTTAGTGCCAGCAGGGTCAGTGGCGATAGAGCCAAGCCATTCAGTGTGATGAGCATTAAAGTCACCAAAAACAACAATATTAGCAGAGGGGTAAAAAGAGAGAGAGCATAGTCAACTAGATCAGAAATTATATTTAAAAAGGTGCAGTCTTGGGAAGAAGGAGAATGATAAAGAACATAGAGAAAGGTGATAGAGTGAAGAGGTGCTAAGCAGAAGCATATAAAGGAGTGGTTAAAGGATTCGAACCTGATTTCATATCAAATAGGTGAATTGATGCGTATGTATACCCTTAAGCCAAGCATGTAACTATTGGAGTCTTTGCGAATCAAAGGATAGTACCCATCAACATTGAGATCAGAGTTAGGAATTCTGGTGAATTTTGCGAGAGGTAAGAGTCAACTGATGGAAGGTTGCTTCGCAGACCACGAGTATTAGTAATAGATATTAAAATAGTTAGGTAATAGGGATAGTTTTTTATGTTTAATATTTTGATTTACTTTTGGCATATTTAAGTTTAAAGAGAACTTGACTCATCCATAGATAGAGCACAGCCTCTCAAGCAATGAGCTATGCAATTTTCTCAGTCTTGTTAATTAACCTTAAGTTGTAACATAGGGCTCCTTAAGGCCTCGATATTGCACACCAAAATAATAAGCCACTAAAATAGCCACTATCAGTGTTATCAAATTTTGATAACACTTTAGTGTTATCAAAGCATTTATTTAGCCTATGTATGTATGTATGTATGTATGTATGTATGTATGTATGTATGTATGTATGTATGTATGTATGTATGTATGTATGTATGTATGTATGTATCTATGTATCTATGTATGTATGTATGTAGGTATGTATGTATGTATGTATGTATGTATGTATGTATGTATGTATGTATGTATGTATGTATGTATGCATGTATGTATGTATGCATGTATGTATGTATGTATGTATGTGTATGTATGTATGTGTGTATGTATGTATGTGTGTGTTTATGTATGTATGTATCTATGTATCTATGTATGTATGCATGTATGTATGTATGTATGTATGTATGTATGTATGTATGTGTGTGTGTATGTATGTATGTATGTGTTTATGTATGTATGTATGTATGTATGTATGTATGTATGTATGTATGTATGTATGTATGTATGTATGTATGTATGTATGTATGTATGTATGTATGTATGTATGTATGTATACTTTGATAACACTTTAATGTTATCAAAGCATTTATTTAGCCTATGTATGTATGTATGTATGTATGTATGTATGTATGTATGTATGTATGTATGTATGTATGTATGTATGTATGTATGTATGTAGGTACGTATGTATGTATGTATGTATGTATGTATGTATGTATGTATGTATGTATGTATGTATGTATGTATGTATGTATGTATGTATGTATGTATGTATGTATGCATGTATGTATGTATGCATGTATGTATGTATGTATGTGTATGTATGTATGTGTGTATGTATGTATGTGTGTGTTTATGTATGTATGTATCTATGTATCTATGTATGTATGCATGTATGTATGTATGTATGTATGTATGTATGTATGTATGTATGTGTGTGTGTATGTATGTATGTATGTGTTTATGTATGTATGTATGTATGTATGTATGTATGTATGTATGTATGTATGTATGTATGTATGTATGTATGTATGTATGTATGTATGTATACTTTGATAACACTTTAATGTTATCAAAGCATTTATTTAGCCTATGTATGTATGTATGTATGTATGTATGTATGTATGTATGTATGTATGTATGTATGTATGTATGTATGTATGTATGTATGTAGGTACGTATGTATGTATGTATGTATGTATGTATGTATGTATGTATGTATGTATGTATGTATGTATGTATGTATGTATGTATGTATGTATGTATGTATGTATGTATGTATGTATGTATGTATGTATGTATGTATGTATACTTTGATAACACTTTAATGTTATCAAAGCATTTATTTAGCCTATGTATGTATGTATGTATGTATGTATGTATGTATGTATGTATGTATGTATGTATGTATGTATGTATGTATGTATGTATGTATGTATGTATGTAGGTACGTATGTATGTATGTATGTATGTATGTATGTATGTATGTATGTATGTATGTATGTATGTATGTATGTATGTATGTATGTATGTATGTATGTATGTATGTATGTATGTATGTATGTATGTATGTATGTATCAGATATTTATATCAGATTTTTATTTTTTCAAAGGTTAATTTGCTCAAACATAAAAATGATATAAGTCATAAGGTATTTTTGTATTTTTCACAGTTATATAGCTTATAATCTATAGATAAACTTTCAATCTAAAAATGATTTGTTTCTGTAATTTTCAGGCACTTCAAGGATTTAAAGACTTGATATCTCAAGTTGTCATTAAGAATTCAACAAAACAAATTTCATTAGAGAATGAAATTGCATTGCTGGAGTCAAAAGAAAAAACATTGAAGGTTTGTTGCCATGTTTTCATTATGAAAATCAATTTTTTAACTGTCAATAAGTAGCTAAATTAAAATAAATTAAAATTTTTATAAAGACCTAATAATACTAATAAATACTCCACTAATTAATAAGAAATGAATAATAATTGATAGTTAATCAAAAAACCATTAAAATACTTAATTGTTATGGTTTCAAAGATTTTCTTTTTTCTTTTTTGAAAATGGTTTCAAAGATTGTTATGGTTTCAAAGATTGTTATGGTTTCAAAAATTGTTATGGTTTCAAAGATTTTATATTTTCTTTTTTTAAAAAACCACTTAACTCTATCACCTTTCTCTTTGTTCTATATCGCTCTCCCTTATCTCAAGACTGCACTTTTCTTGATGTTGTTTCTGATCATATTGACCCAGCCCTTTCTCTTTATCCATCAGCCAATATTGTTGTTGTTGGTTACTTCAATGTTCATCACATTGAATGGCTTGGCTCTAGTGTCAGTGACTCTGCAGGCATTATGGCCCACAACATTTTCCTTTCTCAATCCCTAACTCAAATAGTCAACTTTCCAACTTTCCAGATAACCCGAATCATTTACCTTCTCTACTCAACTTATGTCTTGTTTCTGATCCTAGTCAGCGCTTAGTTTCTCCACATTTACCCTTAGGTGCCTCCGATCATGATTTGGTCTCTCTAAAACTATTATCTCATTCTTATTATCATCTGAATCCCCCTATCATCGTACATCTTACAACAACCTTAAAGCTGACTGGGACTCTTTCTGTGATTTTCTTCGTGATGGCCCCTGGGTAGAAATCTTTTGTCTTCTTGTTGACAAATGTGCTTCTTACATAACTTTGTGGATTCAGGCTGGCATGGAATCTTTTATTCCCTCTCAATAATTCCAGGTCAAGTCTCACTCTTCTCCATGATTTTCCTCACATTGTGCTGCTGCAATTGTCTGTTTATTACTGCTAGAAACCATTATAAAAAGGTTTTGTCTAATGCCAAAGCCTACAATTCTCAGATCATGAAATCTCATATTTCATTACAAAAGTTAGGCTCTCGTGACTTCTGGAGAATCTTTAATAGTATCAATGATAAGGGCAAGCCTGTAATTCCACCTCTTTTGTATGGTTCAGACTTTGTCACCTCACCTAAAGACAAAGCTGAATTGTTTGCCAAGAACTTTTCATCAATATCATCTCTTGATGCCACTAGTTGCGTTCTACCTAATATAGCCGTCAAACAGGTTGATCCATTGCTCAACATTCATATCATTCCAGCTTCTGTATCTAAAGTGATTTCCTACTTAGACTCTTCTACAGCTTGCGGTCTGGACAACATACCTGTTATAGTCTTGCAAAAGTGTTCTCCGGAGCTGTCATCTATCCTTTCAAAACTATTTAACAAGTGCTTTTCAGAGTCTTGTTTTCCAGCCTGCTGGAAAGCAGCAAGGTTTTTGAATCTTTAATTAACAAACACTTAATCTCTCATCTTGAATCTCATAACCTACTTTCTGATCATCAATATGGATTTCGATCTTCTCGTTCTACAGCCGATTTGCTAACAGTAATAACTGATAGGTTTTATGGTGCATTAAATAAAAGTGGAGAGGTTAAGGCCATTGCTCTTGACATTTCTAAAGCGTTTGATAAAGTTTGGCATGCTGGTCTTCTCCACAAGCTTTCTTCTTATGGTGTATCTGGAAACATCTTTAAGATTTATGAATCCTTTCTTTCTAATCGTAGTATAAAAGTTGTTCTTGATGGACAGCACTCTTCTTCTTATTCTGTAACCTCAGGGGTTCCTCAAGCTTCAATCCTTGGCCATGAACTCTTTTTAATTTACATAAACGATTTTCCAGATATTCTCACATCTAAGTTGGCATTGTTTGCTGATGATACTACCATTTATTCTTGTCACGATAAGAAGCCAACTCCCTCTGATTCCTTTCAGGGGGCATTTGAGCTTGAAAAGGATCTCACTTCTGCTACAGTATGGAGCTCACAGTGGCTGGTGAACTTTAATTCAGATAAAATTCAATTTTTTTCAGCCAACCGTTATCTCAAAAATTTAGACCTTCCTATATTTTTGAATGTTAATATACTTGATGAGTCATCTACTCTTCATCTTCTAGGATTAACTCTCACTTCTGATTTTTCTTGGAAACCGTATATCAAATTCATTACAAAATTAGCATCTACTAAGGTTGCATCTCTTTATTGAGCTCTACACTTTCTTACTCTGGATTTTATTCTCTATCTCTATAAATCTCAAATCCAACCTTGTATGAAATACTGTTGCCATATCTGGGGCGGATCATCTAATGATGCCCTTTCTCTTTTAGACAAGGTGAAAAAATCGCATTGTAAACATAGTTGGACCAGTTCTTGCAGCCAACCTTCAACCTCTGTCACATTGTCATAATGTTGCTTCTCTTTCTCTTTTCTACAAATACTATAATGGGCACTGCTCTAAAGAGCTAGCGTCTCTTGTGCTATCTACTAAAATTTGTTCTCGTGTTACTCAATTAAGTCTCATCCTTTTTCTGTTACTGTTCCTAAGTGCTCCTAAAACTCTTATTTGTCTAGTTTTTTTCCTCGAACATCAGTTCTTTGGAATTCGCTTCCTTCATTTTGCTTTTCTGATTCATATAATTTGCAATCTTTTAAGTCATCTGTCAATCGTTATCTTTCTCTACAACCTTCATCTTTTCTCATCCAGTAACTTCCAACACTAATTAGTGGTTGCTTGCAGCCTTGTTGGAAGCAAAGATGTTTAAAAAAAATCTGTTTTTTTTTTAGTTTAGAAAGAAATATCTGAATTAACTGGGAATCAAGTTTTATTTAAAATTGTTTTTTTAATTTAGAAAGAAATATCTGAAGTAACTGAGAATAAAATTTTACAAGAGGATACTACAACAGATTTAGAAATAAAAATGTCTAAAATGAACTCGTTAAGAGTTAATATAGAGAAGAGCATATCAATTATCGAAGCTGCAATCAATGATCTCAAGTAAAAAAATATATAGATTTTATTATTTACTTATCTTCTTAGAAAATGATAACTTTATAATAATAAATCTCACTGGATATGACTGATTATTTAAACTTTTAGTGTATCTGAATACATTTTATTCAGAACTAAAAGTTTACATCAAAAAACTTGAGTAGTTAATGAATAGTAATTATTAAAAAAAAAAAATTTTTAATTTTCAAAAAATTTTAAAAGTTATGCATCATTAGGAAAAAAAACTCGCAAAAAATTTTATTAATTGATTTGATTTTTGGTGCAGAAGTTGCATCTTCTAAGATTTCGTTCTACAGGTTTGACTAAAAATAATGCTCAAAGAAGGTGAGTGTTCAATTTGGCAACTATTTTGATCAATATGAAACAGATACCTTCAAGATGCTTTAAGGATTGATTTGAACATGGGTGCTTATTACATATTGTTGCTGCACATTTCTCTATGGTTAAAAGTTTCATAAATTGAGAGCTAGAGGTGTTGCAAAGCACAGGCCAAACATAAGTCATATGCAAAGAGACTAACGCAAAATAAATTTTCTTATTAAATCAGGAGGGGTATTAAGCAGACATTCCAGCACAACATTTCTGATGGATGTTTTTGAAATGAGTGTTCCACTTAAGGTCATTTTGTTAGGTCACACTGAGTTTGAGTAAGGGTTGGGTTTCTAACTTAGTGCCTGCGATAAATATTGGCAAACTCATAAAACCTTCTAAGAAGAAATCAATCAATTAAGCTTTTGTGTTGTTTACATGCATTTTAGTGCTTAATGACAAACTTAACAAATTATTACCTTCTTCCTGCAGTTTATCTGAGTCATTGTGTCTGACATGATGTAATAGTGAAGGTTGATAGTTTTGTGATGTTATGCATGTTTTTTAAAAAGATGACAAACAGTAAAGGAGGTATGAACTTCCTACTCAGGTGATATAAGCTCAGTCTCTGTAAATTTTGGCTTTCTTTTGTTTCTTAGATAGTTCGAATAGTATGTGTCTGATGACAGCAACTATTCGAACTATATAATTCATTTGTTGAAGTCTGTACAATTACCTTCGTTATGTGGTATATTTGTCTAAAATAAGTTTCAATATCATTTTTTTGCTCTGCTATGAGACAAATATTTGTCTCATAGCAGAGCAAAAAAATGATATTGAAACTTTTAAGATAATTTGTGCACCCAACAGGGTATGTGTATTTTCATCCTGCAAAAACGATTTAGTACAATGAATACAGCATTGGTAAATGATCTGATTTAGTTGCAGATAAACATAAAGGTGCCAGAGTTTTTGTGAATAGGTTATAATTGACAAGCCACAAACTGGTCACATTTATGAGGTAATGAAGCATACACATGCCTAATTTAAGCTTGTATTTGCATATTTCAAAAATAATGAAAAAAAGCTCGGCAATGGCACATTAGCAAAAGGCTTTGAAAAAAATATAAAAAGATGTCCAGTAGTAGGGATAACTGATTCATCACCAGTTACATCCTTAGGGCATGTAACTGGTGATGAATCAGTTGCTAATAATGTGGACTCTTTTAAGCAATCATACAACACAATAGTGGTTTGATGTCTAGTTTTTATGTTATAAATCATTCTGACTTGAGCTTAGCTATAACTAGGTTAAAAACCAGCAAAGCTTGCAGGCCTTATGGTATAGCTGCTGAAGCTATTAAATATGGAGGTAAATTATTATCTCTGTATTTAATATTGTTATTTAATATGTGAGTGAAACATTGCTATTTGCCTTTGAATATGATGCAAACAACTATTGTACCACTACTTAAAAATGAATTTGCTGACGATTTTCTGATGCAAGTAACTACAATGCAATTTTTTTTTATCTAATTGTATAAGCAAACTTCTAAAGTCCCTTTTGCTTAACAGCTTTATCACAATTCAGTAAATGATGAATATCAGTTTGGTTTCAAACCTGATCATTCAACTAGTCATGGTTGTTCAGTTCTGAAACAAATGGTTGGCTATTACAGATTAAATGGAATCTATGTTTTTGTCTAATTTCTTAAACAAAGCATTTGCTGTATGCTTGGTATAAACTGCTATTGCCAAATCAAAGTTTAGTTGTCATATTGCTGGTATGCCTATTAACATCCTACACATTTCCACAGTATCGGGTGGCAATGATGATATTTTAAATGTGAACTGAAACAAATTTATTTTATGCCAGAGCTAACGTGCTTCTACATTTTTGGTACTAAATACAGGTTTAGTAGATTTAATTTATTAGTCAATTATGCTTTTTCAAAATTTATTGTACCCAGTTTTATTACATTTTGTGGCAACAGTATAATATCACTGTATTAAAGAAACTCAAATCTGCTTATATAAAATGCTTTAAAAAGTTTTTTTGTTATAAGCGTCAAGATAGTGTTACAACTATGTTCTTTGAACTTGGTTTACCTACATTTGACATTATTTTACACAACTCTCGATTTAGATCTTTATTCTTAATGCATAGTAAGATGTTAAGAGCTGCTTATGTTGCTCTTAAAAGTTTTAAATCGGTCATGTGTTGTAACTGTTTTTTGTTATCTATGGGTCTATGTGAATTGAAATAAATAATAAATATAATAATAATTATAAGTATAATAATAACTACAATAATAATAATAATAGTAATTGAAATAAATAATAAATATAATAATAATTATAAGTATAATAATAACTACAATAATAATAATAATAGTAATAACTACAATAATAATAATAATAGTAATTGAAATAAAGTTTATACCAGTTTATACCAAGCATACAGCAAATGCTTTTTTTCATTATAATGAAATCTTAAACTTTTATATTTTTATTTTGTAGTGAAGAAAATGAAGAGTTGGATATGGCAATAAATTTAAACACCAACATTGAAAACACGCTTAAATCTGCTTTAAAAGAAATTGCAAGTAAATTATTTTTTGGTTAAAGTTTTATCTTTGTAAAATTATTATCTTGTTCAAAATGTATAAACGTTAAACTGTGTAATAGATGATCGTTTTGAAGCACAAGCTGAAATTCATAAAGAAAGAATGTTACAACGAAATCAAGTGTTACAGAAAACACAAGTAATATTTCTTATTTTTGGAAATCCGTTTTTTCGCATTTTTTTTTATATTAATCCTCCCACTAGTCAGAAACCAAAATAATATTTACAAAAAATTAGTTATTTACCCCCAACCCCTCTAAAGAATGAAAAACAAAACACTAAATATATATTTTTTGTCTACAATTAAATTTTTTAACGTGCGCAATTCATTTTTTTTTTATGTTAGGATAAAATATTTTTTAAATTGTGCATTTAAATATTGAATCTGTAAAACTATCCAGGCGCAAGTCCAAGAAGTTCGTTCAACAAATGCAATCCTTGCACGCAAGTACAGTTTATTGCAAAGCAAACATATTTCAATAAAAAATGAATTTGTTAATTCTTATGAGAAATTCGCCCTTGCACAAGATAGTTTACGAGACAAGCAAAACGTAATTTTTTATTTTGTTTATAGTATAAATGAATGCATCTATTTAATATAAATCTAGACAATACTTTTGAAGAGATAAAATGTTATGTTTATGTTTTTATTGAGTAATGTTTTATCGTTCTATATTAAAATTTTATTGAATGTATATGCAATTTTATTTAACATTGTTTTAGCTTTGCAAAACATTTGCTCAATTACATGCAGCATTGGAATGTGTTTTTAAAGATCGCGAAATTCAAACCAAAGTCGGTATAGCAAAATTTTCGCAAATGACGATAAAAAATGCGACAGAAATATCTGAAATACATAATGAATTAAAAGTTGTTGTTGATCGTATATCAGAGTTTTTGGAATCTATTAACAAATTATGCTAATTATAATGACCTATATATTTCTTATATAACCTATATATTTCTTATATCGTTTATAATAACCTATATATTTCTATATCGTTTCATTATTTAAAATTATTATTTATGATTATTTAGCATCATTTAATGTGTTTGTATCCTTGGTACTCTATATATCTCTGTTGCCATAAGTTACCCTGGTGATTCTCGGAAATTTAATCATGTACAATAGTATTATTGTGCACGATTAAATTTATATTAGTACATTACATTCAGTACATTAATGTACTAAATGTATTCAGTGTATGAACAATATGATTGACGTGACATTTTGTAAAAGTTAATACACTATATATTTCTTAAACTTTTTGAATCAACTTATATACTAAAATAATTGTTAATATCTTTTTTATGATTCGTTTGAAGTTTTTTCATTGTTTTTATTTTTATGTATTAGCTATCTTCTTTATTCTTCATGTCACTCACTCTTGATTGGACTGTTAATCAAAATTATTAAAAGTTTTATTGAAACTTTTTTTAATGTACCACAGTGCCGGATCAAAGGGGGGCTAGGGGGGACTAAAGCCCCGGGCCCCCGCAAATTTAGGGGCTCGGGGCTATAGTCCTTTTTTTTTTTTTTTTTTTTTTTTACAAGTCATTTTTAGGCTCTGCCCCATAAAAAGGCCTCCAAAAACAAAGATAGCCCCAAGCCCCAAGAAGTCTTAATCCGCCACTGATGTACCATTTTGAAATTTCTTTGATAACAGTTATTTAATTGGTTTGAATTGAACGTAAAAAAAAAAAGGTTAGTGGAATTAGTTAGAATTCAAAACTATTAAACAATTTAGAAATGTTCAATAATTTTAAACTCAAACAAAAGTTCAGAAGTTGTTTATCTTACATTTTTAAAATAATTTTTCTCCTGTGCGACTAAATTCTAGTTGGTGAAAAACTCTTTGATTTCTTAAATTTTCTATTTTTCATATTTATTTTTTTTCAAATAAAATTTTTGATACTATTTACTTATAAAATCAAAACACAAGAGAATAACGGTTTAATAATAATAATAAAGACTTCGAAAACGTTTGACAAGTTTTGAAGTAAGAAAGTTTTTATGGTTTACATCTTACTATAAAAATTCGTTCTCATATCCCAGTGGGCATTTCGACGTCGAACGAACGTCGAGCGACGTCGGATCTCGACGTCGGATCGACGTTGGGTTTACGTTGGAAATGGAAATGTTATTTGACGTCGGATAAACTGACATCGCGCGACGTCGGCATTCCGATGTAAATCCAACGTGTTTTTTGAAAACTAATAAACGATGCCTTAGGCAGGAATCGAACCTCGGTCTATCGAAACTAAGCCTTACGCGCTTACCACTACACCACAGGGACATATTAGATGATGAGTTCATTTAGTAATTTATACTTGTAGCTATTTGGGAATTATTACTTTGATAAGAAATAATTTTGTTTAAATATTATATAAATATTAAAACGAATAGTTATATATTATAAAAAATGTATACTCGAAAATGTTAATAGTTAAAAAACTATGCTAGTGCATCATACAAAACCTCATGATGTTTTATCAACCATTATTCAAACTTCTTTCCATTAATAAAAAACACGCTTAGTTCACATATTTATTGAAGAGCGCAATTGCACACATATTGTTGGGTTTGGATTAAATTTTCATCAGCGATGTCTTACGACGCTGTTCCGACGTCGTTTTAAGGACGTTGGATTGACGTCGGAATACGTCAAAAGACATCGGAGTACGTTAATATTATGACGTTGCACGACGTCTTTTTATCGACGTTGGATCGATGTCAGTACTGCGACGTTTTTTGGACGTCTTTTACAAGATGTCGGAACAACGTCAAAATACATCGAAACGACGTCAGGAGTGTTGAGATAAAGACATCGCCCGACGTCATTTTACTGACATCGGAACAACGTCGGAATAGGTCTTTTGACATCGCTGATGAAAATCGCACGTAAATCCGACGTCGGATTGACGTCGGGTGCCCACTGGGATGTGTTTGCTATTGCGGATAATTCTTCTTAACGTTTATGCAAGGACAAGAAAAATTACGTATACACTTATTTACTTAAAAGCGTCTGCAGATGATTTTAAATTTTTAAAAACGTCTTAATATCGTCTGCAGACGAACTCATGGCTAGTTAATCAAAGGTTAACTACTGCAGACGATCCCATGGCTATACATGGCTATGCATAGCTCATACTGCAGATGATCCCATAGCTAGCTAATCAAAGGTTACCAGATCTGCTGATCCTTAAAAATAAATAAATTTATCTAAACGAGTTATATAGAAAAAAGGAATTAAAAGTTATTCAGATTTAAATAAAACCATTATTTTAAAAGTTAAAAGATCAACTGACATAATTATAAAAAGAGAACATAAGTCATAAAGGAAGGAAAAATTATAAAAAGGATATAGAGTTTCAAATTTAGATTTGTATGTATATATATAAAAAAAGAATAATTTCTAGCATGTTTATTTTAATTTTGCTTATTAATATATAGGGAGACTTCGGACATGGGGAGAGAATGGGCACTTCGAAATATCCTACCCTGTTAACATTAGGACAATATTGTTTATAATCGATATGTTGGTAGACATACGCTTTTAGCTTTAGAATAGCTAGGTGACAGTTTTCCGCTAAAAAACATATTTTACAATGTAAAAAAAATTTTTGGTTCTTTGATATAAAGTTTTCAATTCCAAGTGAATCATTCAGATTCTAGTTATGAATTCTGCCAGAGTTGGTGCAATTTTTTTTTTAAACAAAAGATTACCTGTGGACGTTGGAAATGTAAGTATTTGTAATCTATTTATGAGTTTGTAACGATTTCCCTGATTTTTTCAATATACCCCTTGACTTCAGACATTGTCTAAAGTTCTCTCTGATGCATTAATAAAATAAAGATAATAATTCCATATGGGCAATTTTAAGGTTTTGTAAATTTCTACTTACACAATCGTTAGCAATTGCAACACCATAATTTCCTTGTAGAATAATTCCGCACGAAGAAATTCTCAAGTGAATGTATATAAAACCCGTACCGCTAGTAGTGCTAAACTAAAGCTAAGTAGTTACTAGAGTAACCAAAAAAGAGTTTAAAACTTTTAACAAGTTTTAAGTTTTGTTGTTAGCCTACATTCTCACCTGAAAAGTTAAGGGAATCCGTAAAAGATGTCCAAACAAACATTTTGAGCTTCAGAAAGAGTGCTGCTAAACACGGTGTTAGCAAATCAAGACTTTTCGACCATATCAAAAAGACTAAACATCAGAATATTGATTTAATAACTGTTGAATTAACAACAATTGTTAAATTTCAAGAAAAGTCAAGTTTTTTCTCGGTTTATGGAACCTTCGCTAGTTGAAAATTTCATTAAATGCTTACCAATGTTTCATGGTCTAGCACCAAAAGCCACAAGACGTTTAACCTTTGAATATGCGAAGAGAAATTGTATAAAGTATCCACAAAAATGGAAGGACTGGAAGTCTGCAGGATCTGATTGGTTCTCGTTATTCATTAGACGTCATCCTAGCCTATCAATACGATCACCTGAAGCGACGAGTCTCACTCGAATGACCAGTTTCAATAGAGTAACAGTAGCAGATTTTTTTTTTCTGTAAACCTGTAAACCGGACGTGTTTTTATCAATCTTATCAAAATAAGGATTTAACGTTAAAAAACATAGAAAAGTTAATAACAACAAAACTTGAAGAGGAAAAATCTTTTATACTATCAGAGACAAGTTATTAAAAGAGCAAGAACAAAACTTTATATTAATAATAAGTGGAAACTTGAAAATTCTTGCAAAACGACTTGACAAACTTGAATATGAAGCCAAAGAAACCCATCGGGCATTTGTTTTAAAAATTTACGTTCTAAATGTATTTTAAATGTCTTTTAAACGTCTTTTAAACGTCTTTTAAACATTCTTACATAAAGAACGTTTAAAAGACGTTTAAAAAACGTTTAGAAGACATTTAGAACGTAACTTTTAAAAACAAATGCCCGTAGGGAAGAAATTCAAAAGATGCTATCATTGAAAGTAAAATTTACGAAATTAAAGAGAGTCTGAACTTTCAAGAAGAAAATATAACTAAAAAAATGCAAAAAATTACAACAAATTTGGGGTATGATGTAAATTACCTAGTAAATAAAACAGTGGACTTAGAAAACCGTTCACGAAGAAACAATTTAAGGATTGATGGTGTAAAGGAAAAAGAGATGATTGTAGAAACAATTAGCCCATTATATTGGAAATCCAAGAAATGATAAGCTACCGCGAACAATAATCTTCAAACTTCTGAATTATTTAGACAAAACTAACTTTCTTAAGAACGCCAAAAAATTAAAAGAGACTGGATTATATATAAACGAAGACTACGCGAAAGAAACAATAGAGCATCGAAAAAAACTATGGGAGGAAGTTAAACGACTTCGGAAAGCTGGAAAATACGCCATTTTTAAATTTGATAAAATTTATTGCAGAGATTTTTAAAAATAAACAGCTGTTTAGAGCGAGCGCTTTTTCTAACAAGTTTTTATTGTCTTAAAAATCATTATGGCGAACGAAACAATAGACTTTGAATTGTTGTGTTTGAATATCTTTGAAATTACTAATAAATCTTTACCACATAAGTATTATGACGACTTTAGCTTATTAAACAAAAAAAACTCCGATTCTGCATATTTTAATATACAAAATTTTAAAGTTGAACTTAAAACTGTTATAAATAACTTTACGGTAATACACATAAACATCAGAAGTTTACTTAATAATATAGATAAATTAAAAAATTTTCTCCTTGAATGCAAACATAATTTCAGTATGATCTGCCTTACAGAGACTTGGTGCTCTGACGAAACAGCAGAAACAAACTCTGACCTAAATTATAAAATATCCTCTAAAGAAAGTTAGCAAAAGAGGAGAAGGAATTGTGAATTATATACGGAACGATCTAAATATTAAGACAAGAAATGATCTTTTAAACTCTGATAGCGATAGTGAGGTCCTCACAATGGAAGTTATTAACACTGCCTCAAAGAACTTTAGAGTTTCTACATGCTTCAGACCACCTGATGGTGATACTTGTAAATTTTCGAATTATATGAAACATTTAATTACAAACATAAAAATTTTAATGTACAACGAGCATGCGAATACTAAAAATTTCTTTGACGACATGTCTCAACTTAATATCTTCCCCTTTATCAACAAACCCACCAGGGTAACTTTCAAATCTATAATTGCTATTGATAATATATTAACAAAC